GGTCCACAATAGGTTTTTTTTTTTAACTAGTTATTATTTTTTTGTGTGGAATTCCTTGAAAGCCATTACTTGGCTCTCTAAGAATTTTCAGTCTTAGCCTTAAAATTGGTTGATCTTTAAGCCAAGTTATTAACTTTCTAATGTAAAACACTTTAGAATTATCCTAGTTATAACATTTTACAAAGTAATATATATATGATGAATTTGCCAACTGTTAATTAGACTCCAGACAGGTTTTTTACAGAATGAAATCCATAGCATCAAAATATTATTAGTACAAATCACGTGAGACCATGATTGATGCTGAAGCTTTGACAGTAAGAATTCGTTATTTTCACAATTTGAAACTTAACAATCAACAAACAGTGGTAGTATAAAAGCAAAACAACGATAACCCATCACGTAATTTTGTGCTGAACAACAAAGCAAATAATATATATGTAGGTGTAAATTTCCATTCAAATACGATGGAAATTTCCATTCAAATACGATGGAAATTTCCATTCAAATACGATGGAAATTTCTAAAGTTATTAAACATATAAAGGGACAGATAAAATATTACAGCCTCTTTTTATTTAACTTTATTAAGTTGCGCCAAAAAAAAGAAGCATTTATAATGAAAAAGTTGGGGGGGGGGTAAACACCGGAAACAAACAATAATAAATATACCTATATCGCAATGAGAAAGAATTTAAACAAACTTAACTGAACAGACATTTAGTTTATATTTAAGCTATGAACATTTATTCTCTCATTTATAAGGACACGATTTAATCAGAAGTACCTGATCTCCGCATTTGGTCTGTAGCTAAAACTTTGAAGTTCGTTGATGTGTCCAATAGTTAGAACGTGTGTATGGATAGCAGAAGTAAAGGAAGATGATAAAAGTGACCAGTTCTATGGGACAAAACACTTATAATCCACTCGAGTATAACAAAGACAAATAGAACGAAATCACATGGTATGCGAAACCTTCATACGTATAGAACGAAGAGTAAAATAAGAATAAATTCTATAATTTTACATGAAGAAAAAACGTATTTTTTATTCATATACCACAATATCATCTGCTCTACCAGTGAAGGACACTGCTGTGGTTGACCTTTGTGCAAAACGTGCAGTGTTACAGCAGTATACATCGCGGACAGTGCAGGTATATCTCTAGAGAACAACAAAGACAGCTAAGTTGAAGGCTATTTTACGTGTTGTGCGAAAACTACGATAAACCCAGAATAAATGATAATTCTACATTGAAATAAGAAGATAGAAAACGCGTTGTATGCGTGCATATCACACCCTGATGGCTACAAAGCTACCTACATTGGTAAAAACAAGCACCGTATTCATGAACACATGGGGATTTCTTACAGAACTAGCCTCCTCACACACACACTCAAGTTACTGGGCGCACAATCACCCCCAACGGACTCCAAAGTCTTGGCTACAGGTCACAATTGAGACTCCCGACTTATTATAAAAGATAGCTTAAATAATAACTTAACATCTGTTGAGTTTAGCTTGATTTAATTTCTTCTTATTAACTATATCAGCACATTTACCTATTTATTTACTGTGGGTCTTTATTAAAGTTCGTTTACTGCTTTTTTCACAACCTACCAACCTTATAAGTATCAACATTCCTAATATATATTTTTTTGTCTGTACAAAATTTCTTTTCAGCATTCATACTGATATTTGTAATTGTTGTTTTGTATTTACAGTAGTAATTTGATGGAATGTGTGTATTCCAAAACGTTCAATAAATATGTTATTATTTGTATATTCTGTGATCTCGTTGTTTATCATAAGACAACTTACCTTTCTCGCGAATGATCTTTGGGTACTTGAAGAAGCTGTTTCCCTTTGATACTAATTTATAAATCCACTTCTGATTTAATAGTAAACAAAAAGATGTTATATGTTCTTAAGCTTAAAACCATATAAAATAATTTTAAGTTCGTAATAAATACACAAATATTGAACAGGGTTATAAAGTACAAGGCGTTTAGCCATGTGACATCTTTCGAAAAGGTAATCTTTTCATGTTAGTATGGGTTTAACCGTAAAAGTAAATGAGTAAAGTATTACCTAAATAAACTTGTGCAATTAAACTTTAATTTCAAATTCTGATATTAAAACATATGTTAGTAATCGGTAGTGAATTGTAGATGAAACATAAATGATATGGCAAATTAAAAATTACTGGATATTGTAAGTTTTTTAAGTTAAGCACAAAGCTACACAATGGGCTATCTGTGCTCTGCTCACCACAGGTATCGAAATCCGGTTTCTAGCGTTGAAAGTTCGCAGACATGCCGCTGTGGGGCGATATTGCAGTACCGCATTTGTTTTTTATTAATCCTCGTGTCGGAAATATTTGATACTATTTGCTGCAGTAAAGTTTATTGAATAATGTTTATAGCAAAACAGGATAGTTTTAAGTAGCCTTAAAATTTTGTACTTTAAAGAATTATTATTTGTAGTGAATTGTAAACTAAACAAATGGTGTGACTAATATCTTTTATTAAGAGAGAAACGGATATTGTAATTGGTTGATTACTGCACTGAAGTTGCAGTACCACATTTTCTGTTATCCCCCGTGTGGTAAAGTTCGACGTTATTAGCTGCAGTGAAGTTTATAGTTTAATATTTTATTGTAATGATAGGTTGGTTTTAAATAGCTTTAAAATTTTATGCTTTAATTAAAGGTATGTAAAACTTTAAGTTGAGAATACCTTGAGGTCGAAAAATTCCTGCTTATAATATACTGATCTAAATAAGTTAAACTTTAACTTGAAGGATCCCCTAAAGATTAGGCTTAACAATAACATACACAACTATTTTGAAGTAGTAGCTGAGTTAACCACAGTCGATAGACAAAGTAGTTAATAGGCTTAACGTTCAACTACATCGTTAATTACGATTTCGAATTTTAGCATTACCGAGAAGAAATATGGTTATATGGGTTAACGCTGTCTTTAAATTGTAGTATTACCTTTACGAAAATGTTGGGAATGTAATGTTTTTTGGTGTCGTAATAGTATTAATACTAATGTGATAAAACTTTTAAAAAGTTGTGGTCAGATATCATTAATTGAAATACAGAAAAAGGATTTTAACAAACACAAAAATGCAACCTTTAGAGTCAGCCTTTGAACACGTGAATTATCTTATGCAACTAGCTAAACAGAGACCAAATCAACTACTTTGCCATCGGCCAGGAAGGTCAGAAGCCAAATGGAAGTCTATTCATCAAAAGTTAAAAGAATTGTATTTAGAAGAATGCAGTAATACTCATACTAACAAAAATCTTGTAGGTGGCTCATTTTTATTGAAGAAGTTAGTGTCTCGTGAAAAGCTAAATTGTTTGGTTGTAAATCTGTACCCAGGAAATGAAGGATATTCTCTTATGCTGAAAACTAGAACAGGCAATGATATCGAAACGATACGTTTGCCATATGAAGAAAGTGAGCTTTTACAATATTTGGACAACGAGGAACTTCCTCCAATTTTAGTAGATCTACTCGAAAGGTCACAAGCTTCAGTGTTTTATAGTGGATGTGTCATCGTTGAAGTACGAGACTATCGGAGATCTTCGAATCCAGCATCCTTTGAAAGCTACTATATTTTGCTGCAACCAACTACGCAAACCCTTGTTTGTGATGTTGGTTTGTTAAGTAGTGATGGACAGTACTGGAGTGCAGAGGATAAACAGGCTTTGGAAGCACAGCTTCTTCTGGCAACTTCAGAACCTTTATGCTTAGATCCTTCTATTTCAGTAACACTTATTGCTAACAGGTACCAGTATCAAAAGAAGTATCTTTCGACTGTACCATTGAAGAAAATGTCCAAGAGGCATACCCAGTTGACTGTTAACAGAAAACGTAAGTTTGAACAATGTGCTGCTCCGCCATCTTTGAAAGTACATGACTTTATAACAAAAAGAAAGAAAACTAGTGCTCATTCAGCTCTAAGTTTTAAAATTGGTACTCAAGCTTTAGATTCATGGAAAAAAAAAGATGTTGTTTTAGTTCAGCCCAAGGATATTGATGTAGAGAAATATGCAAAGGCACTGGAAAAACCAAAACATGACTTAGATAGTTTTCCTGTTAAAGTTGAAGAGTATATTATGGAAATTGAACAAGAACCAGGAAAGTTGTGGAACACTCATATCACCATCTTCCAACGTCCAGTTGATGAAGAATATTTGGGAAAACTTACCGTTAGCCAGGGAGAACACGGAGAAGGTTCGAGTTCTTTCTTTACCCTTGGAGATAAAACGAGAGTTCTTAAGTATTTAAACCAATTTCGAGAAATTACCACAAAAGAGGGCCAGAAAGCTGTCAGAATAACTCACAAAGTTCCCGGTATGGCTCCAGTAGCTACGTATATTCCGGCTGCAAAAGAAGGGAGTGCAGAAAGCTTTGCAATTCTTAATACTACCACAACAAACAGTTTGACTACAGGCAGTGATGGAACTGAAATGTCCATTGCTAATCTTTCAAAAAAGGCAGCAGTTAAGTTAAGCGTATCTTCTACTCAGGCAACTAGTGCTACAAGTAAAGTATGTGTGACATCATCATCAAAAAATGATTCTCTACCTGTTCAGCAAGAAAAAAGTATTTCCGCTAAAGTGGTATCTTCCACTGGAACATCTACGAATTCAGACTCTGGAACTCTAAGCCAGCTTCTTTCTACAGCACCTTCTGTTTCAGCTCCAAAAGGTTTTACTAATAATGTTTTAACAGCTCTGTCAACAAACATGGAAACTGACAATACTACAAAGAAGGAAGGAGACATTGTTCAAGGATTGATTGGTTCAGAATCACATGAAGGTCTAACTTCACCACCAGGAAACATAGGAACAAGTGTGAACTTGGCAGGATTAGGCTTAGCTCAGAATCTAGGTCTGTCTAATTTAGTAACTCTGACTGGAGTTGGCATTCCTCAGGGTTTATCTGTTCCAATATCTTTGACTGTTGTAACCACTAATCATACTTCAGTGACCTCTGCAGCAGGAGTTTTTGTGTCTGGGTTAGGAAATCAAGAAACAACTGTTAACACGTCAACCAACATTACGCCAAGTAGCAATAGTAGTAAAAGTTCAGGATCGATTAAACAGATCTCTGACGAACCCTCGTCAACTGCAATTCCTGTATGTTTGGGATCTTCCACTATGATTGTCTCATCTGGAATGGTGAACCCTGCTTCAGCAGGTACCAATATTTTATCAGTGCCATTTGGTGTTGCAGGAGGTTTAAACACTCAAAATCTCGCAGCTCAGTTAATGGCTTCAAGCTTCAAACCTTCTCCCCAAGGACTGCGAACTTCAACCCCCGTGTCACTCTTGCAGGTTTCTAGCAGCCAGCAACCAATCCCACTTCTACAGAGACCTCTAGGACCAGCACTGCGAGTCACACCATCTCCAGTTGCAGCCCCACAAACTTCTACTCAACAGAAACCATCACCTTCTCACCAAACTGCTGGATCTATTTCTCCAGCACCTTCAGGAACACCACCACCAAGTTTATCTCCAGCACTATCTGTGGCTCAGACATTTGTAGCTCCAACATCACAGCAACAGCAGATACACTTGGCATTACAGAAACAGCTTCAGCATCAGCTAAGACAACATACAGGACAGCTTGGAGTGCATGCGAACTCTGCAGAAAGTGGTTCTTCCTGTTCTAAATCAAAGAAGAAAAAAGGTTCTTCCTGAACCTCGGTTTGTGAACAGCATATTTTTATATTCGTGTATGTACTGTACATGGTAATGAAATTAATTTGTGCTGAATTTTTTGCATTACTTCAAAAAGCATATATGGTATGCTATAATTGTTTTAGCCTATGTTCATTATAAACATAAGTGTAATTATTTTAAGTGCAACAAATTCGTGTCTTTGTTACTATTTATTATACTAATTGGACTTCAATATTTGTGAATAATTTTATCTTGTAGTAAAGAAAGAGACTTGCTAGGAAGTCTTGATTTTTTTTTTACGTCTTGTATGCCGTAGCATAACTGGCGACATGAAAGGTCTAAAAAGCAAGCCTAGTGAGAGTTGGCTGCTAAAACTTTGGATTGCAGGGGCTTGATCTTTAAAAAGACATGCATCCTCATGCACCAGTAGAAATTTGTTTTATTAAAAACTGAGTCTGCAGAGTTAAAACTTGTTTTGAAGTAAGCCTGTATAATTTTGTACATTCACGAGTTTGATGATTATTTCACCAGGATCCTCATGTATCACATTGATCAGTCTTCAGGGTTTGCTTATAGAGTAAAAAGTTTTAAATGCATATAAAATATGGAAAGGAAGCTTTTATAAAAAGTCAGATTTAAATGCTTGATTTAGCATTGTAATTGAAGGTGATTGAAAAGTAATTACTGTTACTGAACTTTAATGGTCATGCCACATAAATATATTAAACAGTTTTAATCAGTGGCAAAATGATGCTTCTTTACATCTGCAAAAGACTGGAGCTCTGAATTTAAGAAATTTTGAGTTGTCATTCCTATTTTTCTAGAAAGTAGATTAACCACGAGGAAATATACTCTGTGGAAAGTTTAATTAGTTATGTCGTGTCCTTCACTCTATGGTTAATTATACTGAAAATTTAGTGAAGCTGTAGACAGTTTGTGTTGATTTATATTAAAAGATTACATGTTTTTAAGACGTGGGTGTAAAAGTCAGACATGCTAACCATGGTAGGAATTGTTCTGTCATAACTTTTGTAGGAAAAAAAAACTCTTTTATCAGTGTTTGTATTATCACATTTATTTTGTTGGTCAGAATGTAATTTATAATAAAACAGTCTCTTTTAGTTCATTGTTTATACTTTTGTAAAATCAGAAGTTGAATACCATACAATATTTTGTCTAAAACAATAGTTCATGCCTACTGTCTTGGTTCTAAGTTACTCATGTATCATAAGAATTATTTTTTACTTTATGTTAAAAATGTTTTTGGGTTAGATGTTTGTGAATATACCTGAATAAAATGATGTTACTGTCCCTATTACACATGTTTTTATGTATCAAGTAATGAGCTGTTAAAATCACATGAAGAAGCCATTGCAAAATCTGTACCCTTACAAAGATTTAATGAACTGATTTTTCTCACACACATTGGTTTTTTTATGACTTATTAAAGAGCTTGTAAAGTTAGGTTTAGTGTCAGACTATATTTCTTTCCCTTTCTGAGCTGAAAGTTACAGTTGTTTGGAAATAAATAAAAATTCTCCAGATTGAGGATTATTATTTAAATGTTCATTGTAGGTATAGCCAGTAGATTCCAAGTTGTATTTACTATAAATGTAACCACGAATAAGTTGGGTATTAACAACTAATTTGTCCTACTAGAATTAACCACAATACATTCCCAGCTATAATGTTATAATCAACAAACTGAGCATCTAAGGCTTCTATGAGCCAGTAGTTTTCAGGTATGGTAGTTCAGATGACTTCTGTAGAACGTTACTACAGCTTGATTCTGGAAACACTGTGTGTGTGTTCAGCGTGTACGAGTGAAAACTAGGGTTAGCATGGTAAATGTAGGATGAAATTATAATACGTAGTAAATACAAGTATAAAATTTAGTACAATTTTTAAATAAAACATTCTTTTAATAAGTACGGTAATAGTAGGGATCGACAAGATTTCCAAATAATTAACGCGTCGAAAAACCACCCTTTTGAATTCCTAAGCAAACAAACGATCTTTCAAAGTATTGGTGACTATATGTTATGAGCATATATAATAATAATATGCTAAAAATATCAAAAACATTTCTGGTATATCAATTAAGAATTTCTAAAACAGATTCGGCTACTACCTACCTGATCACGTCAGTGGGGATAGCCCCTATCACTACTAGATTTCTCCAGCTTACTTGACTGATCTGTGGGTATCTGCTTTTGATAATTGATAAATATATACAGATTTTTTATAAATGGTAAACATATCATGCACATACTTAAATATCTTTTCAACCCAAAGGATGGTATTACATATTGATGGATAGACACACAACAGTTTCTGAAGGGAAAGTATATACCTTATACAGACATAACATAAAAAGTAAACAAACAAGAATTAGCAGCTTTATACACTTATCTGTAGGCCAAAGTACTGTTTACATTTTATAAATTTGTTATTTTGGTATTAATTATTGTATAAGTTATATATATCGGGGATATGGCTATACTGAAAGGTTATAGATGTCATGTCTGTTCCATGGACACACAAGAACTGAACAAATAGGAATTTAAAATTTTAACGGAAATTAGGGATTGTTGGTTATTCGTAGAATTGCTATAAGTATCCAAAATAAAATAAATGCGGCACTAAAAAGTATCCAACTAGTATTACCTTACTGTTTGTGTATACTTTTTAATACAACTTTTATTTTATTTTGGATACTTCTTATAGCAATTCTAAAAATAACCAATGATCCCTACTTTCCGTTAAAATTGGAATTTTCCCCTATTTATACTAAAACTTTGAGCCTAGTGTGTCAATTTAAATATTCAAGTAAAATATCAAAAAATCTACAATTGCTTGCTGAGGCCAAACATACAACTTAAAGGCTAACAGGCATTTGTTTGTTACTAAGAGGTACGTGGCTCTCTTTTAATAAGTATTAACCATACAGAAACTTTCTCGGATATTCATGTTGGAAGGTGTGATTAGCTTCATTTTTGTTGTTTGAGAAAATGATTCAAAAAGTTTAAACCGTGAAGATTTCATAACCGATACAGTTGAGTTGTGAACATTAGAATAATGTTTTTATAAATATACTTTATAATAATATGTAATCAATTTTTTTTAAGGAATACATACAAGTTCATTCATCACAAACTATAATGTCTATGTCTAAAATATTGGGTATAAAGTTTTTTTAAAGTTCAAGTAATTGCTAAAGCAATTATTATCACACATAACTTGCATAGTTTTTGGACAATCAACTAGCTTTATCGTAACAATCATATTAATTTTTCACAATTCTCCAAAGTTAACTTTACCTAACAGAAAAATCATCATCTTTCCTTCATAGTGGAACCTTGCCACCACACCAAAGGTACGTTTGTTCTGTCGAATTTTGTGCAAAGGTACACAAAAACTATCTGCACTAACATTCCCTAATTAGGAAAGAAAACTGGTGGCTACTCTTGTCAGACTTAATAGTGGTATTTGACCATCACTCTTATAACTCACCCACAGCTCCAAGGTATGGATTGTTTTTTTTGGGGGAGGGATGGGATGTCAACCCACTAGGTCTTACTCACTACGTACAGCAAGGGTAGTAACTTCCATATTTGAAACAGAAAGATTTGATGGTTTTATTTCCACAACTCTTAAACTTAATATGGTACATTTAAACATGCAAGTTAATATAAAATCGTAGAAATAGCACAATATTGATTTTTTAAACTAAATCTTTATTATAAAAAAAAAATCAATTCATTGAAGTTACAAATGACTATTAAACATTAAAATGTGGTGTAAGAATTATAACAAAGGATCACCCCCTTTTAGAACAACTTTTTTTGAAACTTTGGTGGTAATATGAAAAAGTTTAGGTGTGATTGTGACATATATTACAATTTTTATCATTTAAAGTAATAGACAAACAAGATTAATTTATGTAGTATAAATACAAAGTATTTATACTACATAAACAAGTATAAGTTTTGGACAGTACATAGTGTATAAAACTTTTAATCACACGTATAAACATTTAAATTGTGCCTTGAAATCTTCTAATTATTCTGCTTTAAAATTGGAAAATCTGCTTAGATTTAACATCTCTCTTGAATTAGATGATTCTCGATGTTACCACATCTGTAACTCACATTATTACAGTAATAATATTGGTTAGTCGGAGGTTAATTAATACGTTCTCTATCAGTAACTAAGAAAATATAGACAGATCTCAAACACAGTTAATGGTAGATCAGTAACTACAAGTATTTTAACAAAGACTGGCTCAAGATATAAGGATGAAAGAAGTAGTCTCAATATGGACAAAATATATTCATACATATATGATCTATATATCACCAGTTTTTATTTTATATAAACTAGACATTATCTACTCACCTAAATTATAACAGCCTATGAGTAAATCCACTGTACTTTGCAATTACCTGTCTTGGTTCATCATTCATGTAGCACCATGGCAAATTCCAATTTAAAATAATTTTGGTTCCAAACCCATCTATCTTGACAATATGAGTTAAAAAAGTTTTTTTAACATTTCATCTGGCAGTTAACTGTACTATTCTTGTTTGTAATACTTATAATTTTTGGATGTGAGAAAGATGAGTTTTATTTATAGCCAGTTATGAAAGAAAATTTTGTTGATAGTGCCAGTAAAATGGTATAGCGTATCCTATACACAAGACAATCGAACAAGCACTGACTGACACTACAGATACCTTGTTTTAAAAATTCTGTACTGACACACAAAACACAAGTTCACACTTGGTTTTGAACAAGTGTCTAAGAAGCATGGTCACCACCACACTTATCCAGTATACTATGTAACCCATGTGGTAATACAACTAAGTTAATTAAGTTAATAATTCAAACAGTATAACATTATACCGTATAGAAATCCAGAAGTTATTTAACAATAAAGTGACGGACTACAAAATATAATATCCTTAACTAATTAATTTGCAATATATAATTGATTGTCATTGAAAACTATTTACGTACAATTATACAAGTGAAAGTTTCTACATAATTAAAAATATTGAAATAGCATTTTGGTAGAACAAATGATCTTGTAACTTTTGGTGCCAAAACCAACACTTGCCCAGTCAGTGCCAACTTCACCGTTTGTTACATTCTTAAATGCCGTAGGTACACAGCCAGGACTTCCTCTATAACAATTTTTTTTATCAACCCTTTTTATGTCAATTATCAAGTATAAATTCAATGCCTCCATACACTATTTGGGACCACTAAGATACAAGTTCAATAAAATAACATTACAATTTAAATATTAATATTTTATCAGTTTTTGTGAAATCCCACAGAGTGGCAAGGTGGTTGTGATGGACAGGTGATTGATAAACACTGGTCTCTTCAACATGATGATGTGGAATAAATAACATAGAATAATCTCACCTGATACTAAATCAACATGGCAAAACTTAACACTTTTAAAGCCTCATTTTATCTTGTCGTTAACTCTTTTTAAGTAAAATGTAATTTGAAAGGATATTTATCCAACACAGGCATAAAATTAATTGTAAAATAATTCACGTTCAAATTTAAGACAATATTGGTATTTATTTAAATTGATATCTAAAACTTTCATAATACAGGTATTCTAATACAAATAAATATAAAAACCATTTAATTATTCAACACATTTTTGTGATACACGTGAATTACACAACTTAAGTTTCTCAGTTAAACATGAGATATCGCATAAGCCAAGTTTATGTTTAAAAATGTTTTGCTATACTGTTGATTTGTAGTAACTGTAGTGTTACCAGTTACACGTTTTACTTATTAATGATAATGTGACAAATAATCGCAAGAACATACGATTTAGTGCGAAATTTTTCCGCGTTGACAACATTCTGAAATGAGCATGCATTATTTATATTTGTACAACAAAAGATTTCATTAAAATGATCAAGCAGACGTTTAAATATACACATTATCCGTAGAGGCTACTATTACAGTAGTGGTATAATGGATGATCAGACTTGTGTAAAATAATTTACAGCTATAGTGAAATTATGAGCAATATGTTCAATATCAATGTAACAATATAATTACTAGTTCGTTTAGATGTTTAATTTACTACACAATGATAAGAAGATGCAAAGAAGTACATGTTTCTGACTCTTAATTTGTTTTTTGATAAATGTAAACAAAATTTTCAATTCAGTGAATCCCTCAGAACATTTCTTGTTTGAACGTATAACTAAATCATAACTATACACGGACCAGCAATGATGGTACTACTTATTAAATGAAAGGAGAACAAGATTAAACCGTTTTGTTGGTGTTTAGCAGTAGTCTGCTAAAATCTGTAGAACATAAACAGAATTGTATGGTTCAAATGTAAGCCATTCATTCACCAACCAAGAAACTACCAAAGTTTCTGGAACGTAGCTCCAAGTAGTTCTGTCTGTAATGTTTCAAGGCGTATAACACCCGAAATTATTTTGTTGGTGAATTGTATTTCAGGCATACTTCTTTTGCTGTCGAGCACTTCTTCTTGTAGGTTCCAGTTTAAGACTTTTATCTCTCTTGACACGAACCTGTCGTTTTTTTCTAGTTTTTCCACTTTCTTGGACAATAGGTGGAGTACAATCCTCTTGAGTATTACTTGGAGTTTCTTGAATGGTATCAACTACACTTTCATTTCCTGAAGAAGATAATTCTTATCATAAAGACATGCATCAATAAAAAATAAATTTCCGCGTACACAACTTTAATATGGTCTACATATTACTGAATGATGCACCTTTTCTGTGATAACAAAATCTTTCACTAATATGGTCAACACTTTGATAAATTAGCTCAAATGTTGTTGAAATAACTTTATTTAGCCAGTTAGCTTGAAAATATTTTAAAAGAAGCAGGACGTACTCAAATAATACAAGTTTTTATTCAAAGAATCTGAACATATTTAGAAAAAAATACTCTAAACCATTAAAATCCAACGTAAGCATATATTTCAAAAAAGCACTTGGCATATCACAACTCAATAAAGAACCTGGAAACTTGGTTTACTGAGTACAGAAAAAAATTTCTAAGATGAAATAACAACATCTTACGTTTTGATGAAAAAAAAAAGGGATAAAAAAATAACAAGCTTCAAAACATAATTATATTCTGTTTGGATGAGAGATGAGGCACACAATATTAGGAGTTGCTTAGATGCAAGAGAATTCATTATGTATGACAGTACATTTTTACACACTCGTATCACGAAATATTGCTTTGGAAAAGAAACATGGTTGTTTTATCTTTTGACTTTATAAGTTAATAATACTGTATAATAGAAAATATACCCGACTGCTGTTGAGTAACTTCCCTGTGTAGCTGCTTAATTCTCTCCGACACCCACGGCTTCTTGAGTTTTCTCTTCTTTAGCATTGGTGTTCTAATAGAAATAACATATTAATACACCTTATAAAATATATGATGGGAAAACCAAAGTTAACAAGCTATCTGCCACTCAAGTACTATAATTTTAGAGAGGCAAGTCTTAATGGTTCCTTCTGATAAAACAAAAAATCTAATGAACATAGATTTTAATATGACGAGGCTTCTCAGCCAACAAAGTAGTTTTGTGATCCTGTTTTTTTGTGCCTGCAATATAAATTATTTAGAAGTTTTAAAGCATTGTGACAAAAGGTAAAATACTTATTCTATTAAGACAGATGTATATTTGAAACTTTCCAAAGATTTCAGTCAAGTATAACACTCACTGCACTGAATCACTATCAAGTTGACAAAAAACAACAACAATTTTTTAAAACTTTTATTATAATCCTTTCTTCAAACTTAATAACGTGTTAATTACTAAACTAGTACGAGCACTTTGTGGCCTCTATCTTCTTTTAATGCTACAAAACCTATTCGTCATTAGCCAGATGTGTCAATTCCATGCAAAAAAAAACAACAACAAAAAAACTACTGGATGAAAGAGTTTGAAACTTGAGATAAGGTTTCTACAGATTAGGTAGTTTCTATAAAATATACATCTTATTTACGTATGTGATATTTGTACAAATTCTCAGCTTTTAAAATAATTCATTGAGATATGTTGTTGAAGATTTTTTACCTTTGTTACAAATTTCCATGAAAGGTTTTTTATGTCTTTATACATTCATGTTAAACGTGCCAATAAAGTTTTGTAAAACACTGCATACAGTTTCTTTAGAAACATTCACTAAAACACAAACAGCAACTGACATTGTTGTCAGTTTCTGTTTTTGTCAATGCTCTTGAAGCTGTAAAGCGAAACGTTGAATTTTTAAATAAAAACAACATTTTTACGTTATGAGTTTGTATATTTCTAGTATTAAAAACGTCTTTTATTGTGTATTTATAACAGGAGCCTACAGCTTCTCAAACCATGACAACTGATTATTGTCATATTTAACTGTATGAATAATAATGATACTTAATCCATAAATCATATTTACCTGTATGAATAATAATGATACTTAATCCATAAGTCATATTTAACTGTATGAATACTAATGATACTTGATCCATAAGTCATATTTAACTGTATGAATAATAATGATACTTGATTTATAAATCATATTTAAATGTATGTTTATGGATTAAGTATCATTATTATTCATACAGGTAAATATGATTTATGGATTAAGTATCATTATTATTCATACAGTTAAATATGACTTATGGATTAAGTATCATTATTATTCATACAGGTAAATATGATTTATGGATCTAGTATCATTATCATTCATACAGTTAAATATGACTTATGGATTTAGAACACTCATTACATCAAAATATATTGACCCCCCAGTCATACTTTCCAGTTGAGTCATCCAATTGGTTAGAGATATAACTTAAAGCTGATGATGAATAATGTTTCCAATTCAAGGAGTCTGTTGATGTAAACACTGATACCAAATAATACCTACACCAATTCAGCAACTAGTTTACTGTCAAATGATCAGACCTCATAATCATGGAAACATGTCTTAAAATTTGAAGTGACATGTCATTTCATATTAAACATTTAGAAACATGGTGATTTTTTAAAACAATCAACAAGATCTGTACTTCAGAAGTCCTTAGGGTGAATATTAGTTTTTCTATGTACATATTCAGATAAATTTGATTTAATAAAATAAAGATTATATAGACAAGATTCAATAAAACATTGTTAAATACTTTTTTTTACTATTTGTTTCTTTTTAACTACTGTAAGTTTTTTTTTCTTATAGGAAAGGTCAGTTTGAACATAATTTGACAACAAGAATGGAATCAACTTGGAATTATTCTGACAATTTCCTGATTTATTAAAAAATTCAACCCAAGAACATTTCTTTCTATATCCTTCCATGTATCACCATGACTATTATTTTATTACTTTCCTTCTGAGAACTTTTATTTAAAGAGATTTTTACAATACCTTCTCTTTTTCTTGGCTTTATCTTTCTGCTCGTTGGTTGTTTCTTCAGTTTCTTGGCCAGAACAATTTTGTTCTACATTCTGTTTTGTTTCACTGGGTCTCAGTGGTTTGATCTGTGACATGAAAGCTGGCCACAAGAATAATGACAAAAATCTAGCCTTCAGAAGCTGGTATTCTTTAAAAAAGTGCTGTAATCGAAGACACTCGTTACATGTAGTTACTTTCAATATTTCAGTTTTGTCACCTGAATTAACTGATGTGTATGGAGCTGTCTGGCTATCTGAAATCCTAGTCTCTTCTGTTATCACTCCTGAAGTTTCATAATCTTTCGGTTCTTCACAAGTTTCTGAGCTCAAGTCATTAGTTTCCCTACTGGACATGCCAGGATGCTGAGCTTCATCACAAAACCGCTTAGCCGATGAGACTTCTCTCTAAGAAACAAAGACCATTTAAATTTCTTAAAACTGAAATTTAACAAGTTTATAAAAGAATGTTTATTGAAAACAAGTTTCCGAACATTCCAAAGGTTTACTTTGAGGTCTGAATCAAAATTTTATACAATTAAAGAAAAATCAAATCAACACATACATTGTAATATTAGCAAGAATTAGTTTTAATTACATTATAATCTTACAATGTTACTGTCTTCCTGCAGTCTTTTAACTCTTTGGCCACTTGATCCTCCTACTTTGTGAGGCACTGTCAGGACAAAATAAGGAGTTCTTTTAGTCACATCACTCACTGGCTGGGAAAGTTGTTTAATGGGCTCTTTAGTTTCTTTAACGTTTTGTGCAGAGTGATTTGTTTGTGCTATTTTCACACATTCTTGGCATCTAACTGAAGAGATGTGACCTCGGTTAGTGATGGCAATCACTACATCACTAGGGATAAAGTTCTTAAGAGCAAACAACAACCTGTTACGGTGTGCAAGTAGTAGCTTAAAGGAATTAACTGTTGTTTGATTCGGTGGTAATACCGCTGTATTACAGTCATCCGAGGGCTGCCACTTTCCATTGACATTTTCCTCGAAGGCTTGATTTACTTTTTTCTTAATTTCTAGATGATCATCTACACAAGTTTCCTCGTCATCCGAGTCTGGAGGTTTGGGAATTTTAAACAACTAAACAGAAAAAATTAAAAATATACACACATACATTTCCACACATGTATATATATATATATATATATATAATTACTTGAAGATTATGGTGTGAACTAGATGAAAAATAATTATGGTGTGAACTAGATGAAGAATAATTATGGTGTGAACTAGTTGTAGAATAATTATGGTGTGAACTAGTTGTAGAACAATTATGGTGTGAACTAGTTGTAGAATAATTATGGTGTGAACTAGTTGTAGAATAATTATGGTGTGAACTAGATGTAGAACAATTATGGTGTGAACTAGTTGTA